GATCATATTGGATGCCCCAAAGAGAGAATACAAATAAGATGAATGGAAAGAAGTAGACAAAGATGGAAAAAATTTACACAACCCCATAAAATAACATTATTGTGAAAGCATGATAAAAAGTTCAGCACAATGTACCTATGAACCATAATGAAAAAAAAGGCAAAGATAATCATAATAAGAGAACCACTTAGTCTTGAAAACAATAAGCACTACTTCATTAATCCAATTGCTTAGCTCCTCTCCTTTTCGGTTTCGGGTCATCCAATGATAGCATGTTTACTCCTTCAATAGCGGCATGATTTGGCAAAGGATTGGGATTAATGTTTGGGAAATTTAAGGAATCTTTAAACACAATCGGGCCTTGAACCATCAAATTTCATACCTTTTTTCTTGAAGCTCACACAATTTTCAATACTATGACCATTGGCACCACTATGGTATACATAAACTTCATTAGGCTTATACCAATGAGGGAATGACAACCTGGAGCGGTGCGAGTGTCACGGGAGCTATCCGATCAACGGTTATTAGGTGCTCGAAGAGGTCACCAAGAGATATAAGAAGTGATGGTAATATATCATTGAATTGCCCCTGTCGGTATTCATTGGAGAGTTCGATTTGGTAATCTAGGTTGGTTAATGAGTTGTTATGGGCTTCGATAATGTGTTTGGGACTAATGTTAGGGTAAGGTAGGTGTTTTAGTGGTTTGGTGGGGATGATTTCATGTTTGCTAAGGATTATGTGATATTTGATATTGTGAAAAAGTTGATGTTTGGGCTATCGGTCCAGTCTATACTTGGTCGAATTGGCATTTATAGGAATTATGAACCTTACAGATTGGTTGGGCATGTTATTTTGAGAAATGAATCGACCGTTATTCCTTTAAGAGTTATTCCATTGCCCTCTAGAAATGAAAGAAGATACTCCAATTTCATGACTTCTAGGTCTTTTCTCCGGTCGAAGTTACTCCTCTTATGTCCAGATTATAAAGGATCAACTATTCTTTTCGACTTAATGGCTTGTTTTATCCGATCTATAGCAGACACTATCTCCATAAATTTATTTGACCCATTACTTATCGGATAGTCATAATATGGGGCCTTAAAGGTATTGACAAAAAGAGTAACCAATTTCTCTCGAAGGGGTGGGTGAATACAAGAAGCTATTTCTCATCATCGTTGAGCATACTCCACTAACGATTCCCTCAAACCTTTTCTATAGACTAAATCTTTTAAGTGTTATCTCTAAATTAAATTTGTATTACCTCATGAATATGTCCATCAAATCTTTCCACCTCTTAATCTTTGTTTGGTCCGGATCAATAAACCAAGTGAGAGCGGACCTATCGAGACTCTTGGGAAAAAAATTGATCAATAGTTTTTTATCATATGCTATCTCAACCATCTTATTCGGATAGATCCTTAAGTGGGTCATAGGATATTGACTCTCGATGTACTTGATAAGTTTAGGTACTTTAAACTTTTGAGGAATCACCACATTTGGTATTAGACATTTATCCGTACCGAGGATGGGGTCATATATATCTACACCTTCGATAGCTCTTAAACGTTTCTCAATGACGGTGAGCTTCTCAATTTCGAGTTACGAAGTTATCTTTTCCTTGGCCAACTCATTAGTGAAAAAATTAGTAGTTGCTACTATCGGTGCTTAGACAGTTTAAGGCAACATAATAGTCGAGCTCGAAGGTCTAGGAGCAAACTCATTCATGCCCCTCGATATAGGATAATTGGCATGATCAATAGTACTAATAGGCTCTAAATGAGGCATACCAAGAGGTGGTACTAAAAGAGCGACTGAGTGATTAACGGTGACATAATGGTGAACACTTTCGAGAAAATCGATGACTAATCAACTTCGCTTTGGACGATAATTTATGAAGACATACGATTTTAATGACTTTGTTCCAATAGAGCGATCAGCCTAGCAACCTCTTTCTTTAGTACCTTGACCTCCTTCGGTGATTGTGCTTAAGCAGAACCCTTTCTTCATTTTCCATCCTTTTTCTTGCTCTAGTGTAGTGAATATACGAGGAAAATATAGTTTTGGCGAGTCGACCTATGTTTCGTTTAGATAAAAGATAACAAATATAAGATGTAGGTAATAAAATAAAATGACACTCGGGATCGAATATGGAATAGCTCGTGGGGATGATAAGAGGATCCAATCATCGATTCTTTGACATTTTTCCAAATTGTTTTAAAGATGAAATTGGGTTTCATTTGTAACCCTTGACATTTTATAATCAAGCTTCGAGACTTCTTTGGTATTCAAACATTGCAAAAACTAGAGTTAAATCCCCTTATCACCTATCTTGAAACATCGTGATCAAATTGCTCGATCAAGGTTTCAATACATCCAACTTGCCTAATGACATTTACCAAGTAAGATCCTAAGGCTCGGTTTCAAGTCATTACGTGGGCAAGATAAGATCTATCTAAGCCTTAAAAAGGCCCCTCCAAGCCCAACAAATCATAATAAATTGTTGGGGTCACTAAAGGTGATGATTGGTAACCGTAAAAAATCATCGGTTACCCATCGCTCGTTAGAAAGTAATAGTGAGTTTAATGCGTTCATGGGCATTATTCCATATTCGAGTCCCAAAACAAGAATAAAAATAAAAACAAATAATGACATAAAATAAAATAAAAATACGGAACAAATAATGGCAAAAGGCATGAATTCAAACAAGGTGGGAAAAATTACAAAAATCAACATACAAGCATAAAAATTCATCATATCATCGAAATCAAATTCAAAAATTACATGCAAAGCCTAACCGTAAGTATTTTTCCAATGGAGTCGTCATTCCGTCGTAAGGTGACATCAAGGGCAAGAGCGACAATTTTGGGCAAAATAGGAAAAATTGGTAAAAATGACTGAACTCGCTACCTAGTATTACGGTTACTAGGAAACCCTATAAGTGGTCTATTCACGACTATGGGTAAGAGGTCTATTACATGTGGGGAAGATTAAAAATAACCCTACCCCATCTTGCTTAAGACAAGCTGCATTGCATACAAACTTTGACTTTATTTTTTATTTTTGATGATGAACATCTATACCTATCTCTCAAGCATTTACCCATTGATCAAGTGATTTGAGACTTGATCGGTCGAGACCTCATCCTTACTCTATAATGGATGGCTAAAAAAAATGATGAATGCAAGGATATACTAATAATGCAACTTAGACAGCGTGCATGAAAATAAAACATAAAAATATTAAGCAAATAGGCAAACAGAAAAAATAAATAGATTGGCAAAATTGAAAAACAAGCAAAAAGGAAAAATTGGCAAAAATGAACAAATAGGCAAACAATGGCAAAAACGATAAATAGGCAAATAGGCAAGATTGCCAAAAATCGACGAGATGGGCGATGAGGCAAAAATTGACAAATAAGCAAAATTGACAAATAAGCAAATTAGGCAAAATGACAAATAAGCAAAATTGATAAACATGCAAATTGGCAAAATTGACAAAATTGGCAAATAAGCAATTAGACAAAATCGACAAATGGGCATAATCGGTAAATTGACAAAATTAGCAAACGAGGAAATTGGCAAATTGGCAAAAACAAAAAATATGCAATAAGGCAAAATATACAAAATAGGAAAAATAGATAAATTAGCAAAATCGAAAAATATTCAATGAGCCAAAATAGGCGAATAGGCAAAAGCAACAAAAATTGGCAAGTTGAATAAAATCAACAAAAATCGACAAGTTAGCAAAAACCGACAAAAATCGACAAGTTGGTAAAATTGGTAAAAATCGACAAGTCGACAAAAATCGACAAGTTGATAAATATTGATAAAATAATTTCAAAATCATTGATAGCTTCATCACGTAAGTGAAAAGCCACCGACTACTTCATTGTAATTGCAATCAATCATGGATAATCAACTAAACCATAAGAATAGCACAAACTTTGCATTTAAAAAGGTTGGCATAATAACAGGAACAAAAGGCATTTCGTCATTTAATGATCATTGCAATAATATTTCCTTTTTTTAATCATATTTAATCTATAAATATGAAGCCAAATATCACAATTTTAATCATATTCCCCACACTGACCATTTTTAACCTTTTAACAAGTTAACAAAAGTGACATAGTTTTAGGATTTTTACCCAAAAGTCCCGAAATGTCGATGTTTAATTTGGAGTCGGTCTTACCCTCTTCGTTTTTTATGATAATCGATTATTCGATTAGCTAGGAAAAGAGAGTAGCTACTGGTGGGCAATGGGTGTGAATACCACTAGGGTGGCCAAAAGATCTTCCATTACTTGGTTTCAAAATTTGCGGAGTTACTGCTTGTAGAGTTATAGAGTTCCTCAAATCTCAAGATGACTTTTGTTACTTATTCTCCTATCAAAAATCAAGCAAATGCAATCTACAACATCATTTTGTTCCCGCCAACACAATCGACCACAAGAAGATTTTTTTTAGTCTTTCCTTTTATTTTTTTTCTTTTATTTCTTTTTTTTTCAATAGCCTCAAAAGTGTCAATGGGCTCGTTTTGAGGGAGGTTTGGGGCTATTTTGTTGGGTATTTTGGGGGGTTTTCCAACTTGTTTTAAATCTAGTTTGGGGGTGTATTTAGGCCTACTTCGGTAGTTTAAGGGAGCTATCCGAAGTGGGTTCTCTATAAGTGTTTTTGGGAGGGTCGTTAGTAATGATTACGGGGTTGATTTTAGAGGTTTTTTTGGTGAGTTTTTCAGGTTAGTTTTGGGGCTTTACGGTAGGCTAGAATGAGGGTTATTTGCTAAGTTTAGAGGGTTGGTTTTGGTCAAAAAAAGGGTGGCTAATAGGGAGTTATTTGGGTAGTGTTTATGGGGTAGCAACTTGTGGGAAAAAGGCTTAGGACGTGCTTGTGGGTGAAGGAGTGAGGTCGAGTAGTAGCTCGTAGGCATAAAGGGAAGGCTAGAATGGTATTATGGGTGACAGAGAGCTTGGTTGGGGGTTGTGGGTGAGGGAGTTGCATGTGGAGGTCTGTTTATGGGTTATATGTGTGTGCCGGCTTAGGAGAAGGCATGTGTGAGGCAATGGAAGATGGGCGAGGCGTGCAAGTGAGGCTTGGTTGCGGGGCGAGAGGCTAGTGCAATTTGGCGTGGGATGTGTGGGGCGAGAGGCGGTGTGGGCGAGTGCTAGTTGAGGTAGGAGGTTGGTGCGGTCCGGCGTGTGCCTTGTGACCTACTTAAAAGGCGTGCACTAGGGGCGCCGGGCCGGGGCATGGTTAGGGTGTTAGCCGAGGAGTGCTTGTGGCGCCGGGGGAGGCCGGTCCGTTGTAATGTGGGCGAGGCTAAGGCGTGTCGGTGGTCAAATTCTATGGCGTGGGGCCGACGGAGGGGAAGGTATGCTATCGCTCGTGTTGTGCGTGTGATGGCCGACGGAGTCGGTGGTGTGGTCGTTTAGGTAAATGGAAGGGTTTTTTGGAGGATGGTGAACGATAGCTTGCCCTAATTTTAGAGCAAAGGGTGTCTTTATACACGTCATTTAGGGTTTTTTTGGCTAAAACTCGATTTCATCACTCATTTTATTTTGATCCTTTTTCTCATTTCTCCTATTAATTGCATTCCTAATTTTATTTTTTTTACCCCTTTTCTTTTTCTTTTTTTTGGTATTTTTTTGAAAAATTTTGGGTGCTAAAAAGTATCAACGTCCAACATTAGCCTCACACGCACCCACTTTTCTTAGCCCAAAATCATCTTTCAAAGCATTATAAAACACTAAAAACTATAGATTTATAATAAAAAATAATAATTTATTAGTTAATCACAATTAAAATAACATGCAATTAAAGATTTAACAAAAGTTCCGATACCAATTGAAGGATCATGCATCTTATGAAGGTGTGAAATAAAAAAAAAATCTCCATCTAAGGTTCCCAAGATCATATCGTTGAATCAACTAATCATAAATTCACATGAATACTAATATGGGTAAAAGATTACCTCTTGTAGCGTCGAAAACAATTAAGTGGAAAGGAAACCATCTAAGCGTTTGACTTTATTGATTATCCACGCAGACTTAAACACCCAAAAAAAAAAAGCTACAAAAATCATAGAGTGCTAGCTCTAATACTTCTATGTAATTAATCTCTCTAGAAATCCATATGGGTAATTGACTCCAACTATTGGCTTTGATGGGTAGATTTATGGCGACAAGGGTTTTTAAGAGAACATTTTTCTCTTTCTTTTCTAGCTTATGTCGTTTTTCCTTTTTATTTTTCTAGAGTGTGTTGCTACCTCTCTCACCTATATTTATATAAAGGGCAGCAACATCTCTTAGTAGGTTAAGGAGATGTTGTTTACGTGGATTTTATCTAACCTTATCCTTGCAAACACAAAGCCTTATCTAGTAAGGCTCAAGTTTATCTTTCCACTGGAATGTCTTATAGGCTTTTAAATTAAATCAATTGGCCTAATTAATTTTCAATTAATTTAGATCATCAAAATAAATTAGGACAAGTATTTTAGTGGAGCCTATATTAGGAAACAATTTCCAAATTACCCTTAAATCAAACTTAGGAAACTAATTTTCTTTTTTGGTAATCGACTTTCAAATTTGGAACTAATTTTCGAATTAGGAAACTAATTTCTATAATAAGAAACTTTCTATTTTAGGAAACTTGTTCCAAAATAGAAAACTTTCTAACTTAGGAAACTTTTTTCAAAATAGGAAACCTTCCATTTTCAAAAACTTTTTTGAAATATTTGCTTCTCTTTTATTATGTGAATGTTTAAACTTATATGTATGACTCAATAGGCTCCTAGATATGTTAGCAATGTGTCAAGAATAAAAGACACTTCTTTTATCTCTTGATATATAAATTAATATTCACATCTAGCCAAATATCTTGACTACCTAATTCTTAAAGAGGATTAATTAATTTGCAATTACCTTTCACGAGTATGGTTACCATACAATTCAATCCTCATGTTAATTTATCATAGTGTGATCTTGAAATTAGTTTAAAGTCTATTCAATTATAATCATACAAAGCTTTCTTCAATTCCTAAATGTCTTTGCTCTAGAGTAAACCATCTATGTTCTATTGGTATACTCCTACTATGGTCATAGATTCCTTGAGTAGGCATTTATTGAAATGCAATATAATAACTCCTTTAGCATATAAGAAATGACATATCCTATCTCAATCATCCACTATCCCCATTAGATTCTTAGTGAACCCGACGAATCATCCATTTGTAGATCTTGACTACACCCATCAAAACAAGTGTCAAAGTACATAAATCATCTAATGAGATAAATGTGATGACTTCAAGTCAAAGGACTAACCGTACCTATCTCAATGAGATTCCCATTGACTAAACCAAATGGGTTCTCATGGTTAGTCACTTTTAGTGATATGTTCTCCAACATTAATCACCCAAGTGCTTGCTTTGGCATCACCGTGTCAATAGGTGTGAGATCTCCTACTACTATCTTATAGCATGAATATACCACTCATAAGTCTTACCGTATATAATCAATGTTCATTTTTTATAATGCTACCACTTGGAGACATTTAATGATATCATTTAAATACATCAATATTTATCTCACATCAATTGACCAATCATTAATGAAATGCATATTAAATGGACTTCTATCTAATTCTAACAATTGTAAACAATAAGAATTTATAGAAAGACTTCTTTTATTTATATAAAAATACAACTTTATAATAAATCAAATAATTAAAATGAGGTTGGATCTTAGACACCTACACTAACACGTGTGACCTACAAGAGGAAAAAGCTACTAACCATATGAAATAAAGAAGAAAACCATGTGGATGCTCCACAAAGAAGAGACACGAGCAACAACAATCAACACGACTTGAGTACGAAAAATGACATGCTCATGTTGGGGTCAAGGCCGAGATGTCTCTCAATGAGAAAAAAAGACACATAGGCAAAAACTAAAGGACACAAGATGAAGAGCAAATTAGGCATGGTTGTGCGCTTTAGTCTAGCAAGCCATATGCCACCAACTCTCTAAGGCTCAAAACTATGTGAAAAAAAAAAAGTAACCCATGTTCCTTTTTCAAACAAGCCATGTGTTCATATTGGGCTACCGTGTGTGTGATGTAACTTTACTTTGTACTATAAATACAGAACTTTAGTGTTTTTTTTTTAAGGATTCCCTATTCTTGCAGCCACCATAGATAGAAAATATGCTCTTTTGTAAGCAAACCATATCTCACTAAGAATCTTTCTTTTTGAAGGGAATGTTGAAGCTTCTAGTGTAACTTATTGTGAGACCTTATCTTTAATCCTATTCTTTTGAGTATTTTATGTTTTTCTATGTTATTTGAATATGATTATATGATTGATTGGTTATAGTGCATGCTAGTTAATGAATCATTCTAATCTATTTGCTAGCTAACTATTTAAGTCTATAATTGCTTATCCGAACTTACTTATTGTAGCAACTAGGGGTTAATGATTATAAATGGTTTTTTTAATCCTTTAGAAAACATAAAACTATATTAAATTCTTCTAACATCTAGGAGGGTTTTTCTTCACCTATCTTTCTATCTTAATTTTATCATTGGATTAAATCTAGACGAGTATCTACCGAGTTGTTCAATAGTTAGGAATTAATCAAATATGATCTATTTGGTTAATGAATCATTAAGGAAAGATTGGTGATAACATATATGTTATTATTTTATGGTGAATATTCATAATGAGAATGGATTAATATATAAATCGATAATCAATGATTGAACCAAAAATGGATACCAATATTTAACCAAGGCTTTTATTATTATTGTTATCTCTCCATTTACTTTTTTTCACCTTTACTACTCTCAAAAAACCAAAACCCCCTTTTTTTTCCTATACTTTACTTTGAAATACCGAGAAGATAAAAAACATTAATTGAACTATTTCTATTTGGGATTGACCTTGACTTGCTCTAACTATAATTTTGTGATTTGGTTTAGTAAGGAGAAGAAAAAAAATCAAATTTATTGGTGGTATGGCATGCCATCAAACTCTTTCAACTCTTTTACTTTTATAAGTACCATCCTTTAAAGATCCTTAAAAACTAGAGTGGTTCTCGACGCTAGCTCTATATAACACTCCCGACCAATGACCTAAGTAGGTTGAGAGCATTACCAGCAATGCTTCACATTTTAATTGCAATGAATGTGATACACTAAGCCTCATATTATTTTATCATTCAAATAATTATTGTTCACCATGACGACTTACTTAACTAAATGTTTTAGTCCATACTTTATTTGAACTTAGAGATGGCATGTTAAACTACTAATAAATTAGTAATTTGTATTTCTCCTTACAGAGCTTTCAATCATAGTTATATAATCGGGGAAAGTAAGGGTTGAACGCATAGGAAGAGGGAATCAATCAGTTATTTTGGTTGTTTGAGTGCCCTTCTAGTGTAAATGGGCATTTGAATGTTTAGAATGCTTGAAAACTATAGAAAGTAGTAAAGAATAACAATTTTAGAAAGGCTTTGGTTGAAATTCAGTATCCACTTTTAGGTTGGTCACCGATCATCAATTAGATAATTAACTTATTCTAAACATGAATATTCACCATAAGACAACAACATATATGTTGACCCCGATCTTTCCTTACTTAATTGTTAACCGAATATACGATAGCCAATTAATTTCTTAGCTATTAGACAACCTACTAAGCACTAGATAGGTTTAATCTATTAACCATATTAAAAAGGTGTAATCTAGTTGTATATTTTTTAAGGAATTGAACAAAAACATCACATAATCATCAACCCCTAGTGACTACCACATGAGAGTTTAAACAAGCAATTACATGAACTTGAATACTTAGCTACCAATAAGTAATATGACTAAATAACTAGCATGTACTCTAATTAATTTAATCATACAACTATGAATCAATCATGCAAAAAAATAAAAAAAATACCTAATAAAGATAAGTTTAGAAATAAAAGTAGTAATCTTAAAGCGATTAACCAAAAGCTTCAACTTGATTCAACCTTGAATGAAATTTAGTTGTTCGTAATGAATTATAGAGAGAATTTCTAAGAAAGGTGACTACTAAAGGTTGGAAGAGGAAAGATACCCTAGCTTTGCTATTTATACCTAAAACTCGGGTTACATAACATGTGAGTAAGCCTTATTGGCTTACATGGCTTAATACATAAAGTTACATGATTTGTTGCTTGATATCACATTGTTTAAAGCCTTGAAAAATGAGTCTTACATGGCTTGCTGACTAGGGCACACGACTATGTACGTTTGTTCTTCATCTCGTGTTACCAAGCTTCTACCCGTGTATATCTCTTCTTCAAATTATGTTGAACCTCTTCGTCCATGTAGACTTACCTTGCTTTGAAGACAAGAGCGTGCGACTTTACACTACAAACCATGTGTAATACCATCTACCTGT